CATTACGCTTTTAATTTGAGCAAATGAACTTTCAATTCAATATTTGAATTGCGTATTATAAACTCATATTTGTATGTAGTGAGTTTATACTAGTGAAGTTGTAGCAATATTTAACTTGTGTATATTTGTAGTAAATTTATAGGAGGCGGTTTGGCGCAATGGGAACGGTTTGGTTTCCCAACCTTGAGGTCGAGGTTTCAATCCGTCGCAGTGCATTTCGCTTGTGTCCTTGAGCAACTAGGCACTTTATCTGTTTTGCTTCTCTCCACCCAGGAGTATAAATAAGTGCCTGGTGGGGTTAGCCAGCTCCTGCGCTGATTACCAGCAGCAACACTTAAAGCATGTGGACCCAATGACCAGGGAAAGGAACTGCGCTTTATAACCATAAGAAAGAAACGCATTATAAATGCCCGTACCAGTACCATTACCAGAAAGTAGTAATATTTAAATTGTGTTGTATTGAGTTTACAATGAATATCTAGTTGAGATGCTTGCCTTCCATTACTAGGGTCATGGGCTCAAAACATGCAGCACAAGATTTTTTCTTATGGCTGCAAAATACATTACCAGAATTCTCAATTATTACGGAACTTCCATAGGCCTATTTTCTACGGAAATTTTACCTAATTACGGATGTATGGAAATACTACATAAATTTAGGCCTAAACCCATAAATAAATACTGTAGAATTGCAGAACAAATGACTTTTCCATCAGGATCTTTGGTTACGTTGTCCATAGACAACTCATACCTGTACTTGTCGGATTACTTATAAATTGTTGTGAGAACTAAACAAAAGTGGCCTGAAAATCTTCACCCTGTCCCATTTGTTTGAAATTCCACATCAAATTAATAATAATAATAATAATAATAATAATAATAATAATAATAAATTGAGAATTTATATAGCGCAAATTATAAAACAATTTTAAAATCAAATGCACTTTAGACCGAAAGTTATGAAGTTTCCTTAAAAAATAATGATTAAGCTTTGAAAGTGGATATTGTAGAAGATTGCTTAAGATGTACAGTAATGGTAGAGAGTTCCAGAGAGTAGTAGCTGCAAATGTGTAAAGATCTGTTGCCAATACTATAGTTTTGAAGTTGGTTCGTGGAATGGCATTAGTGAGAGGATTGAATTACAGACAATCGGGCCCAAAGAGGATCGGATCCAGGACGATCGGGCCCATTTTCAAAATAATTATAACTCCATGCTTATATCTTGCACTCTAGGCAAATTATTAGGTGGTACTACGGAAATTGTTCCTTTACTACGAAATCTGAAGACATAGTTTTACGGAAATGCATTTTACGAACTTGAGAAGTCTGCATTACCAATACTGTACCTAGGAATTTTTGTAGTTAATAGAATGTTAAATAGCAAATAACTGAATTACTTTGATCTAACTTATAAAAATTTGTAATAATTTGTAAATTTGTAATATTTTTTATAATAATATAATAACAATAATAATAATTCTTTATTGGTCCACATTCAATTGGAAATTAAAAATTTGTGCTGGGTCTCTGGTTGCGTCTCTGGTTACGGTAGCCACAGTGTAGCACCACCCATTTAACTACAAAATATAACAGACACATACAGATACAGTCCATATAACGTAGTTGTCACCACATAATGTAATACTGTAATATTACTGTCTTCTGTCATCAATACTTCTCATCTTCTTGTATTATTAATACAATAGTTTTTCTTCTTATCACTTTGTTACTAATTGATAACACAATTAGAACACACTCCTTGTCACCAACACCAGTAGTAGTAAGATACGTCTTCAATTTAATTCAGCCAACACAAATATACTTTAACTTCAAATTCTGAGTTTATTTCAGTTCTCAGCAATCCACATAACACATACAGGCAATTATGACGCCTAGGACGGAAGTAAGACAAACTTCAGTCTTAAAGAGCTGTACCAAACTTAAATAAATTCAAATTCCCCTCACCTATTTATGCAAAACAATCGTTGGTATGTGAACCAATCACAAACCGTCCTATATTCACATGATCTCATGAACCAATCATAATATTAATATGAGGGTTATTAGAGGAACCAAGCGATCAGACTCCCAATTAAAACCCAACACTGGGGTTTTTTTTTTCAATCATTATTTAATCTTTGTTTTTTTGTTTTTTTTTATTATTAATATGAATTTTTTCATGTTTCATATTTTGATTAAATATTATTAATTAAAATAATAATATTAACTGTAATAATTATTAAAGAAAATAATAGCTTGCATGCTTCCAATGTTTATTAATTTGTATTTATTTTATTTAATATTTTATTATTGGATTAATCACTATAAACTTAGTTTATTACTTTAAATTATGGAACCACTGCCAAGATAAGTATTGTTTTTCATCAGGTCTCATTATCATACAGTAACAATCAATTTATTGGTATCTTCAAAAATTAATGACTCAATGATTGATTGATTGATTGATTGATGAACTTTCTGGGAAACTAAGATGTCTGCGGCATTGCTTTGTATTTTTAGACGAGATGAATTCGGGAGAGGAAATAAAAAATGATCAAGAGATCATTATGTATAATTACAATCTTTGGTTATTCTGCCGTACAGTAGCGAAGGGAATATCATATATCAACCAATCAATAGAGCTGTTGTCCAATATTACTTGCCAAGATTTTAAGCAGCATTCTGTCCAATCAAATCTTCTTCCTCTCCTTGATTCTTATACTAGTAGTAGGAAGATTATTTTGATGACATTGCTAGGCAGGGCATTTTGTTTCATAGCCTGGCCTTATTGTTAGCACATGTCTTCAAGGTTCTTCTGCTATTCTTTTATTCTGCAATGTGAGGCCTAGGCCAGTCCGTAACTGGCTCTAGGCTATGTCAACTCACAGAAAAATGTTTAGTTATGGGACGATGATGCTGAGATGAGGATGAGTTTGGATATGTACATTCATTACATACCTTTGTCAAGAGTAGTGATTAGGAATAAGGATGCTACCTCACTGATAGTGGTTGGGTAGGATTTATACCTTTTATGTCTTTCTACTAGAGGTTATCATTTTTATGTTAATCTATTGTTGCAACTTGCAGTGATTTCTTTCCATTCCAGATTCTCAAAATTTCATTACCCAGATTTTACGGTAGTTGCAACTTTTTGTAACTCTGCCGCAGACATTTGCAAGTTGCGATAAGTCTGGCAGTTAAAAGTTGGGTTAATGAAAAGTCAGTAACACCTAAAAAGTTTACCATCACAATTGTCTCACATTTTGTAAGACAGTGTGAGTTACTCTGTGTGATCACTAGGAAATATCATTGTATTTTACTGTTTTTTAGAACAACAGAATTTTGAATTACGATGATTTTGAAACCTCATAATTACATTTTCAAACCGTGCATATAGACATTTCAAAAACTCGAACTTGTAGTTTTGAAATTTCCCTAAACGCAGTTTGGAAATTTCCGTATATTGGTTAAAAAATGTTTTTTATTTACTATTTTTCTATACATTGTGGTATTGTTTTCTCGCCAATTAACCAGCATAAGTGATACTGTGTTTATTTTTATATCAATCCATAAATTGGCAGTCTGTAAGTCATCGAAAACGAGACACTTAGCATATTGTCAAATATCTTACGGCTCAAAACAGCTTCAGAGCGGTGTTCTGGTACTTTACTCCCTGGCGCCTTTATAATTTAGCTATTAATTTCTAAAGACAGCTTTCGTTCTAGATATTTGTTTTGTATACATGTCTACAAATAAATGGTATCAAAGTGGCTATGTGCACAATTTGAATTACTACTCATAAGAGTGCTGCTTACAATTGTTCAAATTTACATAACCGCTATATTATTTTGATTAATGTCACTTCTCCAGCATATACAGTTGTCCATGACTTGATCATGCTTTATTTAATTAAACTGAGTCTGAATGTTGAAAATCATAAACTGTCAAATCTCAAAAAAAGGAATATAATTTAATTAATTATAAATATACATTCACATGCTTTAAAATCTTTCAAAGATCTAATTTAAATTTGCTCCTTGTACTTAATTCATTATAATTTTTATTTTCATTTAATTTTGTTTTGTATGAAATTATAAGTTTTTGTTATCTGGACCCCATTCCATTATAAGGCCCAATTAAAAAAATTATTAGTTTATCACCCTCGCATGCATGTCTTCTGTGGTATTAAAAAAAAAAAAAAAAAAATTGGGGAAAAAAAATCTTTTCCCTCCATTTATTTTTTTTTTTTTTTTTTGTTTCATTTTATTTTTAGTAAATAATCACTAGCAATTGTTTTTATTTTCTCAATCATGTTTTACTTTAAATATCAATGCACCAGCTAACAACCCAAGGGTGATAATTGGCTTTAACAAAATAAAAAATAAAAATATAGCCCCCCCTTCCTAACTACTTTTTCAGCTTAGATAATGTGATAAACTAATAATTTGTTTTTATATGGCCTAATAAGAAGCAGTTGTGACAAACCTATATTTGTGACTGATATTATTAGTGACTTTATAAACCATTTAGAATTTAATAAAAGTGAATTAAACTCAATGATAGTTTGTGAGAGATAAGTATAAATTATTGTTTGTTTAATATTTTGTTTATTTCAATTGACAATGAAGTTTATATATGCTGCTAATTGTTTAAAAAAAAAAAAGATGAATGAGTAAGAGTTACAGGAGAGTTCCTGGGGATCGGGGGACTTAGCTCCCAGTGGGGTATAAAAATAGCCGATGAAAAAGCATACAAAGTTGCCGGCTACCAGGCTACTAATGAAACCCCTGCGACATGCTATCAACTATTGATCTGCATAAATTTTATGTCTATGCTTGAAATGTTACTAATCTTTCAACCAACCAACAATAACAGCTTGGAGAGGCCTTTGTCCTACAGTGGGTCAATAATCGATAAAAGATATGAATTTGACTGAATACACGAGTTTAGGATAATTACCAAATGTACACTGATATAATTTTCTCTTTTTTTTTTTGCAGGAGGGGTATTTCTTCCAGGGCGGAAAACCACCCCCTACCGGAAAAGCCCAATGACACGCTTCCGATTCAGTACCTTCAGAACATGAAGGAGGCAATCTCAAACTATGTCACACCCTCATCTAGCGGCAGATCCTCTCCGACAATGACTGGTGAACTCATCAACACCAACCTCGATTCCTCCACTGGTTGGACGTCTGAGGTGTCCTCTGCAAGGAGCAGTCTCTTCTCTTGGGAATATGATGTAAGTCTCGTCTTTGAGCCCATTCACACTTACTATATTGGCCCAGGGCCACCTTAACTATGACAAACTCAAAATGACCATTCCATTCACAGTATTTTATGTCGGCTCAGGGGTCGCACTGCGACTATTCACACTTTCTTCTTTGCGCCAGATTTTTGCATGAAATGTTATAAGATGTCAAAATTTACCGCTATCAAGGTGACTTAGACGACCCAGGTTCGTTTTGCATTTGGATATGAAGATGAGTTGGCTCATTGCGATACCTGAACCGACTTTAAAGTCAGACCAAATTGAGGTCGCTTTGGGCCATTTTAATATTTATTGATTGTTCACGCTTGATAAAATGTGAGCCTGAGGCAGGCCTAAGTCTAACTATTTTAGTGTGATTGGGCTCATAGTCTATCCATCATCGCTAAAGCTCTGTACTATAAGTTAAGGATACGTCCCTTCATTATGCTCTGCAGTTTTGTCTGTGGCTTATTTCAGCTCGGTCGTTACCTGCCAGGCCCACACATTAAGTTTACATCTAATGCCTCTGCATTTATGTTTTTTTTATCTTTCGCATTTCCATACATCTCAACACCTACCTATAATACAGTACACAGACTTACAATTTTAAAACCATAAACCATTATCCTCAGTCAATCTTTGTTCATATGATTATTAAAAGTTTCTACGTTGGGGGCGTATGTAAGTATAGGACTGCCTGTGCTCTTCACGCTTGATCTTCTTTCATCATATAATAGATCATTGACGTCTACTGTATGTGTATGGTAATTACATTGCGATCTACTGTACGCTCATGAATATTCATACTTGATCATTGATTTTTTTGCAAAGATCGTTGAAATCGATCAATGTGTACAGTACAGTTTGTGTACAATGATATCTTGAAGGAGTGTGTGGAGGATTGTTTCCCCTTCCCAGAAAACCTAATTTTATCCTTTTTTTTTTACTTTTTAATTTCACTCCGTTTGTTTGTCAGTACAGTGTACCTTCCAATTTGAGACCCCTATAATTCCGAGACCCACCTTAAATTTTGAGATCCCTCTATTTTCAATCTAAATAACAATCTTCAATCTTTGGTTTAGCATTAACCCTCTAATTGGCAACCGAACCCTGAGAGACCACCCCAAATTTTCAGATCCCAAAGGTGGTCTTAAACTAGAGGGCAAACTATTCTCACAGGGTTGTAGTCTGTAGAAAACTCCTGAGGATGAGTGATAGACATTTTAAGGGTGAGTGGGGGATAACATTGGTAAACTCTAATAACTTAACAGTGAATTTTAAGGATGGGCAAGGGCATGCCTGAAAAATAATTTTTTGCGCATCCGCCCATGAAAGTTGTCTCGAAAATGCCTCCTGCACCAAATGTTATCTGTATACGATAAAGCCCAACAGCTTATTTTTTGGAATTTTTTCCCCAAAATTCCTCAGGGACATTCATGTTGCCTCCGGTGGTGCGGTTCGTGCACTTTTTCCAGCCCTGGGCAAGGGGCTTAATAAAGGTCGGTGGGGGTCAATGAAATTAGCTTTAGACTGGGTGGAAAACTTCAAGGTTGGGTTGCCCCCCTCCCCCACCCACTGTAACTACATCCCTGTACTCTTTTGATATGGTGAACAATATTGCAGACACCCCAGTTCATCTGCCTGTGCATTGAGTTTTCATACAAGGTTTATGGCCACAATACTCCTGAAAAATTATCGTGTCAAGAAGGATTATCAAATTATCATGAGAGAATTGATAACACTAACGAGCAATGTACATTAACGATAATGAGCTAAGACAGGATTCTATTGTTTGATGTTCGTGTTGTACTCTTCTCTTCTGTACAGTAATCAGCACATTAGTTGTGTCATCTTCATAAAGTAACATTAGAGTCTCCAGTCATTTTTTAGTCCTGATTGGTTTTGGCATTATTGCATACAATTACAACAAGACATCATTACTGTATAAAAGCTGATTTTCATTTCTAGTAGTTGTTATGACAAGTGGTTGTCATGGTTATGAGTAATGGATGAAATCATGCTCCTTATTGGTCCATTTTATTATTGTGCTTTAGATAATTGGTTTAGTGTTTCTTATGCTGTACTATGACGTGCAATCTTTTGGCAAAACCTCTAGTCATAGAATAAAATTTGATGGTAATATAATAGGTTGATTATTTTTTTACTTAACCTATGACCTTGATACTTAGAAACCATATTAATCTTATGTTCAGGCCCAATAAAAAAAAGTTATTAGTTGATCACCTTTACATGCAAGTCTTCTGTGGTACTGGAAAAAAAAATGTGTTTTTTTTTTTAACAGTCCTGTCATTTCTGTGTAAATCAGGTATGGTGTTACCTGAATAACAACTTGATATGAAAAAGCTAATGGACAAAAAGAAAACGGCCTCCTTAGGGGTGAATTTATCCTGAAATTGGGATGGCCTCCTGCCCTCCGGCGAGCAAGCAAAGTCTTCCGGAATCTAATCGATCTCCCCCATATTAATGCTATTTGCATGTTTTTACTACTACCATTTTTCTTCTCTAAACAATAAAAGTATGATCTGTGTTTTTTCATGCATATGCAAAAGCATAGTGTAATTCAACTATTAAAAATTACAAATTTTGGTAGTAACTATAAACAACCAGTAAAAGTCACAAAGATAAGTATGGTATATAAATTAAAATCTTAAAACCTAACCATAGATTATAGTACTTAAATCATAAAAATGTACATAAATCTGTCGTATCCCCTTGCTCTATACTACATTGCTACAAATGAGTTTCTATATTTAGAGAACATCTGGTGCTTGAAACGCACAGACAGATATCTCATTTTTTGAAATTTATTTTAAATGTAATAAGGGATGAATTTCTTCAAGTAACAATACATTTTATAAAGTTTTAGTAGAGCAAATTTTTTCATACCTATCATCAATTTTTTTTGTTCAAACTTGAGGCTGAAATTACTTTAAAGAATAAGAACAAAGTAAGAGGCTGAGGTAAAATACCAAATGAGGTTTTTATTTATTTTTTATTTTTTTAAAGGAAAATCAACAAATCTTATCTGTACCTTTATGAGAAGCTAGTGTGACTACGTAATAATACCCTCTATAAATTAATACAGTACAGTAATATACTGCCGTCAAATAATATTTTTTCTATATTTGAAAAGTATAACAATAAGAATAAATTAAGAATATTTTGAGTCTGAAAACAGCAAAACAAATAAGAACACTAAGCCTGGGCAAAATTTTACTGGTTCTTATAAAAAGAAAAGTTTAATGAAGAAGCTTGGACTCTTGTCAAATTGAAATTATATTTTTAATACACATGGTAATAATGAAAAAAAATTTGATGTAGTCATTGACTGTGTAACAAACACACAAAATATATAGGATCAATCAGCAGGAGAAACCCAACGTCCTATAGTTTGTACACTTAACCAATTATGAGTGATCAGTATGCGTGTACAATAGCAGCATTGATGCACTATGCAGGTTCCGTGCTGGGCAGGTGCCGGTATGAAACCAGACTTTGGGGCATACATGGTTATTAATTGGTTTCCCATGTGATTTGTCTACCGTCATTAGCTCAATGTTCTTTAACGTAAGAAACTGATTAACAAGCTGTATATTGCCACATTAGTACTCACGGACAGATGCTAACGAGCGTCGAAGTGGGATTCAATATTATGCATGTCTGTTATAATAATCCTCATCTACGCATCTTCTGTATGGGTGAACCTGGTACCAATTTGGAATAATGCACCCACTATGGTTTGAAGTCATTGGGATGCCCAGCTATGATTTGCCTCGAGTGGCAGATCTAGGAATTCAAATAAGAAGGAACCCAGAAAGGGGCTTTCACAGATGGAGGGCCCACCTTAGCCCAACTATGGTTGGGATGAGGTAAGAAAAATTATGATATCGACAAAAATGGCCATTTTTGTCGATTTTGAAATAATATAATTTGGGAGTATATTAAGCACATCTGAATTACCTGTTAAAATTTCAGGTCTCAACAATTAGTCATTTTGGAGATAGCACCACTTATCTTTAAGCACAGAACTTAAAATCTAGTGATTATAAAACAACGTACCTGCAAGATTACGGGGCAGAACAACGTATCTACAATGTAGATAATTTCTTTTGCCTCGGAATGGTATTCAAAAATGTTTTGAGTTGATGGATTTTGGCAAGGCAAAATCAACTGGTTAATGGTGTTTTCATTCTTAACAGTGGTGTACGTATGAACAAGCTAGAATGCATGTAATTGCCCCAAACATGATACTGTAGATTCCAAAAATATGTTGCACTTTCAACAATACCGAGTGACAAGTTTCCAATGTATCTTTGAATATCGCTAATAACTTTGCAATAAACAAACGGTTGTAATTAGAATTTTAAATATAATCACAATGTCTGATATACAATCCTGCAGAATGGTACGACAAAAGGGTATGACAATTTGTTGCCAAGTTGCAAACATGCAAACTTTTAAGTTAGATGTTCATCCCTCAATGCATCTGCTGAAACTTTTGTATGCCTACCCAGTTCCCAGTTATTATTATTATTATTCCCAAGTCTGAATGATTACCCGGATGATTTATCTGGGAATGCCCACTTATGGTTTGTTGTCATGGGGACAAATGCCTTGAGAATGCCTGATAATAATTTGTTTCCATGGAGTTGAATGCCGTGAAAATGCCTAGCTTTGATTCAATTCCATCGGAATGGATACCACAATGATGTGTTTTGCCCAGTTTTGTGAATGCCTGTACAATACAGCTCACAATATAATGAACATTGATTGTTAATAATACTTTAATAAATGATCCATTTTAATTCGGTATTTAAGCCGGGCAGCCATCGCACCCAATGGTCGTCGTCGTCAGACGCAATTCTATGAGAAACGTAGCCCGACGACGCGTGCATAACAGATCGTTTTTAATGACGATCTATTCAAACTGCTACCGACAATCAGCAGACGATGTCTAATGCATAGAGAGAGTGGCATTGGATTTGTCGTGCAACCCATATGAACGTCGCAGTGAGCGCACAGCTTTACTGTACAAAAAATTCAACCCCACAAAGGCTGCGATTAAATGGAGCCAGCATAGACTGCTGGCAAACAATTGTGTATAAAATTTTTAACAAACAGATCTTTAAATTGGGTACAGTATGTCATTGAAAACTTGTACTGCAACTCTATTTGATTGCAGATTGTCACTCTGCAAAGTAGTAGACATGTGAAAAACAGCATTTATATCCCCAAGTCATTAGTAACAAAATCTTAGCGAAATCTCAGTATTATTTACTGTCCCAGGATTAAATCGAATGTTATTAGAGAAAGGAAGCTCCAAAAATAGTTACAAACATGAAATTCAAGAGCTCTATTTAATGAGGTCGTAGACTTGTCAACATCTGCTGTCAGGGTAGTTGACCAGGTTCAATAAACATCTCTGAAGATGATTGACATCTGAGGAATTCAACACCATATTTGGTGATGTACAGGTAGACATCACCTTCTGATAGTGTTGTAGTACTGTTTATTGCAATAACATGCTTTTGATGTTGATGTATGCGAGTTTGACATCGGAATGATGATAAAACTGTAATAAACCTGTCACACTCTACTTGTACTACTAGTCACATTACTGCACCTTGACTTTAGTTTTTGACATATTTTCTTTCAAAGTTTTATTCACACTATATTACGTTTTATTTGACAATAACTTATAATATTTATAATAATATAATGACATTGTGCATTGGAAAATGTCGCATAATACTTCGTCGCTCACATCACGAACTAACACAATTAAAGTAGATTCATGAAATCAGAGTAGCGCGTCAAAAGGAGCGTGTATTGGTTGTCAAGCAATTTTGTATTCTTTACCACACAAAAACTTGTTAACAACAACAGCGCGTATTTTGACGCGCTTTCTTGATTTCACGAACTAACACAATCTACTTTGATTTTGTTAGTTCGTGATGTGAGCGACGACTTGTCGACATACCTGTAATCTTTGTCATCACCTTGATCATTGTTTTATTATCATCAACATTTTATTTATCATTGTCATTACATTCATATGTACTGTACTGTAAGTACTGTAAATGCTTGATGTCATCATCATCACTTCATCATCATTACCTTCGTCATCGTCAACACCATCATCATTGTCATCAATGTCATCATCTTCATCTATCATCATCACATTGACACCAAAATTAATTCAAAAAGTATCAACTATAAACTTTTGTATCTGTTCCACAAATCTCAGATGAAGTAAAAATATAACCATTTCTAATGATGCCTGCTGATTTATGTTCACTGAAGAGCTTCAGAATTCCCTTGGTTTTACTGACTTCATCTCTACCTAGCGCCATATAATTTGAGATACCAGTCCAATGGTCAATAACAGTAGATGCCTGTAGCCATAGCATCTTTTAGCATTTTTCTCTTAATCTTCCCTGCTTTAGGAGTTTGACAAGCAAGCGGCCAAAACAGTGCGGATACTGTTCGATGAGATAGACAGGCTGTTGTACGAGGGTCAGAAAAGTCAGAGTACGACACAACTTCACACAGAATGTCAACAGTGGAACTTAAGATTTCCACATCTACGGTAAGCTAGTCAATCAGACATAGTTCGGTTATTAAAAATGAAAGTTTTTTTTTCCTTTTATTTAATTATTAAAAACATTTATATAGGACAGGACTCAAAACAAGATGTTTTAGCTTTTTTACAATTGTGGCATAGACAAGCCAAACCAGTCACTCGTCGCAAACCATGTTACAGAGATAATGGCATAAACATGCTGGAATGTCAATTTTTAAAATCTATTTTATTCCAATAAATTAACCTTTATATATCATGCTATGTTGTTATTTTCCCCATTTTCAATGTTAAAACAACAATTTTTAATGATCTGTCTGAGAAATGCCTGAAATCGCAAACTTCAAAGGTTGATTTCTCAATACAGTATTGTTCTTTACACAGCTGCATGTTATAAATTCATAATGAAACTCCTATAACTTCATAATGAAATGTCAGATTTAAATGATACTTTTACCATTTTATAGCTCTCATTTTAATGTTTAACCCTGTAGTACAGTAATAACTAAAAATCTTTTTTGGTTTCGTTTGTCTTTGGCTTGTCTTTGCCACAATTATTGTAATTGTCCTATAATAAAGACTAAAATAATCTGTCTCTGGTAAATTATCTGTAAAGCTCATTATTGCTAGGTTTTTTTTTTTATTTTGTGATGTGGAAAGGGTAACTTAAAGTTTTGATTACTGAAATCTAACACATTATTTATTATACCTTTGACATGGTGTTTTCACTTCTGTAAATAAAGCTTTAATTAGAATATTAAAAGATTTTTTTTTTCTCAAATTAACCACACACAGTTAAAAGCATCTTTGAAACATGAATCTGAATGTTGTCATACAAGCTTTTAGCTGTTATTCAATGTTCACATGTCATTAATGTCTTGAGTGTATTGGTTGATATGATAAATGTACTCATATTAGCTAAGCATTCTAAATACCATCTCATTCCCGAAACATTTGAAATGATTACATACCAAACCGTAAACAATTGATCTTGTGTCATTGGTTGCCTAAAGGAATGCTTAATGCCACACTTGATATTGTTATTGCCTGGCTATCGAATGCTGATTTAGATTTTTTTAATTCTTTGCAAAGTTTGCCAATAACTTGAAATAATAAATAATCTTTAAAGTGTAATACATTTCACAATTTTAACAAAATATCTTCTTTCTTTCTTTCTTTCTTTTTTTTTTTTTGGGTGGAAGTGTTTCTAGGTTTTGAGGCAATAGGCCTATATTGACTAATTCAACCATTCATTCTTTATTTTAGCCAAACATACGATTACAGTCAGGGGTGGATCCAATTGGGAATTACATGCCCCTCTCAATCTCCATCCTCTATTGCCGCTACATTTTTCAAGAAATCAAATAGAATAAAAATAACTGCCTGTTATTTCTCTATAGTAGTACAGTTTACATTAATGATTTTCTGTGTAGACTCAAATCAAATCAGATTATTTCCATAAATATGGAATTAATTATTTAATATTTATTAAATTAGTTTTGTACAAGGATTGATTATTCAACAATAAAGGAATGACATGTGATTTAATTTATTTAAGTAGAATTTGACTAAATAATTGATTGATTGTAAATTATTATTTATTGATCAAACAAGTGAGAATAATATCATTTGCTGTAAATATAGCAAATCATTATTGAAATTTGTTAAGTTTATTAAGTGCCTGAGTGATTAATTAATTAAGAAGTTTAAATTTTGGTGATCAATCAATGTTGAAGCATTCGTTATTGTGTCTACTATTTTATCATTAACTAATGTACAGTTGATATAAAATATATTAAAGTTACCTTTCAGAGTTTAAATATTTTCCTTTATATAGTAAAATTTTTCTTTTACTTATTATATAAATAAGATAAGAGGGTGAGCATGTGTCGATGCAATCATGTCATCTGCTGATAAGATAACTTTTATTGTCCAATAATAATAATAATTTATTATGTAGGCTTTTATAGCATGCTATACAACTAAGTCTCTGAGCACATTTCCACATTATTACCCCAGCCATTGGAACGATGCCTAAGGGGAAAATTCCATAGTTTCCTTCGTAAAATATCAGCGCATTTTTGCAACTCGAACCTCCTCGGGTACCCACTGGGTGGACAGAAGCAATGTAGATATAGTGCCTTGTTCAAGGATGCAAGCAAAATGCACATTGGAAATTTGTTTTCTCATTTGCAATATTATAAGATAAGAGATAAGATAAACTTTATTGTCCAAATAAAAATGGAAATTCAAGTTCCATTTGGCGTAAAAAGCACTACTCAATTCACAATAAGTTACATTAAGTTACACATTGCATTAAAAATAGATACATGCGTATCCATGCATGTGCGCAGCACATGTATACATACATATACATACACACACATATGTATATATGTATACATACATATATACACACATATATACACACACATACACATGAAATTGTATTATCAAAAAGGAATAATAATGGGATAATAATGAGACCTACATCATTTAGATATGCTAGTTTTATATGAAACACATAATATTAACATAAAAACACAGTTGTTACTAGCTTAGCACAAAACAGTATTATTAGTATCATATCAAAGGTCCCAATTGTATGAGATTAAAAAATATATTTATGAACTACATGTACTACTGTCTTATCTCACTTTCTTTTGTAGGGTGTTAGGTAAACAACTTACACCGCCTTTAGACGATGGATTTGAGATCATCCCCGCAGATGCCCCTCGACCGGCAACTGGTAGCATACTGCTCGATGTTGTGGACAATGAGGGTGACATTGGTGGAAGTGACATTGAGGAGTATGTTCAATTGTATTTCATGTTATCAATCAATTGAAAAATAAATGAGAATATTGTAGTAAGGTTATTTAATATCAGACAGGTATAATACAGGTGAATTCAAGGCAGAGAAAAAAATTAAGATCATGTACACTGCTTTAAATATTCAACTTAAACACTTTTTTTTTTTTTAAACAAAATGCACAGAGAGGGTTTTAAATATAGGCAACATGGTTCTTCTAGCCAATGCTAGCACAATATTTTTTGGCGCACTTGGTGGAATGGACACCTCCACGCGTTGTGGTTAGCCCCTTAATATTTTGATAATACCTATTATGCTGCAAAAGTAATAAACGGTAGCTTCCATCACATTTTTCATTGCAGAGCCTATTTAACATTATCTCTGCCCTGTGTCTTTATTGCAGTTATCTCTTCTATACTGTTCTATATATAATTTTATGTCTATATGATATTTCTAGGTTACTAGTAACTGGCCAGAAGATAGAGCCAATAAGTATTAGTCCTGAACTCAGAGGAACCTACTTACCACACCTAGAAGAGGAAATATTTGAATCCGATGGTCTGGTGGAAGAGTACCTTGCCTATGACTGCAGGGCAGGGTACGTATCATTCACAATGAATAGTTGAGCTGGCTGGTTTTATGGTGAAAGTGCCCAACTTATAATCCCAATGTGTAGGATTCCAACTTGGGCTATTCCAAGATTGTTTTCATGAAAAGTTATTATTATAATTTTGTTTATAAGCAGTACAATAAAAAAATTTTTTTTAATAATTTGGATAAATAGGTGATAACTACCGTACTTATATACTTTATGCACATGTTATGAATGTATTTTTTATATATTATTAAGTATTGTATTATAAG